GAGATGGTATACAGATGTCTGGACGAGGAGGGTCTATACCTAGGCGCAAGTTCGTGCCTCAACGTCGTGGCAGCCAAGGAGGTGGCAGAGAAGATGGGCAAGGGATCAACTGTCGTCACTTTACTGTGTGATGGTGCATACAGATATGCTGATCGCCTCTTCTCGAAGAAGTGGCTGGAGCAGAAGAAGCTGTATGATGCGATACCTGAGCGGTTGCGCCGATACATCGTACTGGAGTAGAAGACCAGAAACATATACATAATGCAATAACATGAATGTTCAACATAACACGCGTCTGCGTGATCATCCCCTCTATATTGTACTACAACTACACTGTACAAAACGTACCCTCTAGAACGTCTATCTATAGCTGAGCCTGGGCATCTAAATCATGGGGCTCCCGCTTGCAAATCCATTAGCTACAGCCGTTATCAGTTGATTTGCAATGGCAGTCTTCGGCGGCAATCTCAGTCCACCCTCCTTGTACTCTGGCCCAGCGTCATCTCCAAGTCCACTAGTACCAATGCGAAGCGCCTCTCTGATTTCGTCTGCTGTGAACCATTTCGCATCTTCCAGCTCAGCGTCATGTCCGAGATGAATCGTTTCTCCATCCGGAATGGCTTGTCCAATTGCGCCAATCATGAGATTGGCAGGGTAGGGCCATGGCTGAGTGCTGTGAATAACAACGCGACCGAGATGGATACCAGATTCTTCCCAGACTTCGCGACGGACGGCTTCTTCGACACTCTCGGCGGGTTCGAGGAAACCAGCTAGTGTGGAGTAGAAGTAGGCAGGCCAGCGCTTCTGGCGCCCTAATAGGATCTTTGTACCGTCGGCAGATACGACCGCCATGATGACTGTGGGGTCGGTTCTAGGAAAGCACAGATTCGAAATACCGGTTCGCGTCGCGCAGGGTGGGCGTTCGCCTTGGTTGACTTCGGATGCGATGTCCTTGGGTGGGCAAGTGCGCTTGAAACCGGCGTTGACTGAGAGAGTCTTGTAGCCGCACGAAGCGCAGAAAGGGTTCCGTTCGTTCCAATCGAGGAGATGCCGGGCTTCCGCATAGATGGCAGCTGTGTAGTGTCAGTCAAAAGATCCCAGAGACGAGTAAGAATCAATAAACGGTGACGTACCTTCCTCAGCCTGCAGACTTAAGTTCATCCTTCCCTTACTAAACTCCAAGCCCGTGCTTGTCATTCGCTCCAGCAGCTCTTCTGCCTTCTCCTTCACACTCTCCTTGGGTGTGACATCGACGGCGAACCACGGTTGTCCTTTGTAATGCTCCTTGTATTTGAATCCATCTTTCCGCTCATCCAAACCCAAGAAGATTATCTGCGGAACGTACAAGGTCGAGTTGTACTGCGCAATGACTTCTTCCTCCGACTTCTCGAACGGGTTCTCGCCGATGATTGGCTTCACGTCGGCAAAGGTGCAGCGGGCGAGCTCCGACCCAGATTTTGTAAGGGGCTCGAGTTTGTTGAATAGCAAGAAGGTTGTGCTGGGATGATTGAGTGCCGAGGAGAGGAATTGATGGTCGGGACGCAGGAAGCCCACGCGATTGAGTGGGGAGCCTGCATAATCATGTCAGAAACGGGTTGCAGAAGGGGTATAGGTGGGTTATCTAGGTACCAGAGAAGTAGTTGGCAACTTCCTTTCCGAATCGACGGCTCAGCATCGAATCTACTTCTGGATGCGCTGGCTCGGGAAGCTCAGGTTGCGGTGGCATCGTCTGGTATACTATGACGTCTCTTGGCCGTGCACACTATGCTGAGAAAGAAAGGTTCGAATTGGTAGTATTGAGACTCTATGGGAACTCAGATACAAGATCAAGGGTAAATGCTACAGAAGGCAAGGCGACTGACGTCTTCGCTTTGCTTTGCCCCACGCCGCTAGATGGCGTGCATTACAAACCATGAGATGCGTGTCGAGTTCCGAGGCCTCGGTTCATTTCCGATGCTCCCAACCTTATCGATAGCTCTATTTGGACTTCTGGCAACACAGACAGCCTCTCGCAGGACCCTCTACATGGAGCTGAGACAACAACTATGAGTCGCTTCTACGTGCGTAATTCCAAGAGCCTTTCCTTATCGTGCGCAAGATGACGCGAGATTGCGACTAACCCGCGTCCTCCAGTTCGGCGACGACTCGCGTTCCGCATCCAGCGACAACGATAATGACGACGAAGACAACCTCTCCACCCTCCCCTTCGCGACGCCCCTCCGCCGATCAGACTTCCTCGCCCCGAACTTCTCACCGGCAACATATCTCTCTACGCTCCACAACCGACATCAAACGCTCGAAGACCTGCGTTCGGAACTGCGGTCGCGATCGCAGCTTCTCTCAAAGGAGCTGTTAGACCTCGTCAACAGCAACTACCAAGACTTCCTCAATTTGGGAAACAGTCTACACGGCGGCGAAGAAAAGGTAGAAGAGGTGCGAGTAGGACTGCTGGGCTTCAGGAAGGAAGTTGACGGTCTGGCCGGTGTGGTGGGGAAGAGAGAAGAAGAAGTCGGGGAGCTACTACAAGAGAGGAGAGACGTTAGGGCCAAGATTGACTTGGGGAGGCGGCTGGTCGACTACGACGCTAGACTCAAAGAATTGGAGGCTGAACTTTTGATTGAGACGGCGGGGCACGAGACGATCATCCTCGGAGAAGAGGTCTCGGATAGCGAGGACGAGGAAGATGAAGATGAGGAAGAAGAGGGGTACGGCGTGTCGGTCGCCAAGTTGAGGCGGAACGTTGTGCACTACCGGTTGGTGCTAGGATTGCAGAAAGAGCTGAGTGAGCATCCATTCGTGGCAGCCCAGGCGACCAGAATAGCAAAGGTGCGGAGTACGTTGTTGATGGACCTGAGTACTGCACTGCAGCAGGCCAAGACTGCTAATAAGTCTGACGCTGGTCGCGTGATGAAAGTCATGAAGATATACGCGGACATGGAGGAATCTGCAGAGGCAGTCAAGGTCCTCAAAACACTCAAGTCACCATAAGAGACGATATTGTCCAGCATAGCGACGGCGTTCGGTATGGTACATTGGTCATACACCCCAGAAAGCTACATTTACAAAGGCCCACTCAACTCCTTTGGTGATATCGAGTCCGGTCCTTTAAAGTCCCCGCTCAACGTGAAACCGGGTGCGTTCGTCGAGCTAAGCACCACTTCGTGAATCTCCTTGGTGATACGATCGCTCATTTGCGCCATTTCCTTCTTTATCGCATCCATGAATCCCTTGATGTTGTTCTGCATCTCTTCTGGCGTGAATCCTAGTTGTCCAACTGCCATACGAATCACACCCAGGCGTTCTCGATACTCGCTACCACCAGTCATATTTCGGACAGTAACGCCCACGTTCGTAACGACCGTTCCTGCTTTTGTGCTCGGCATCAAGCCTTTGGGACCTAGCAGCCTTCCCAACCCCGCCTTGTTCATCTTTTGCAGACTATCAATGTGGCAGATACACCGCTCGAAATCGATCTTCCCCTCTTTAATCTGGTTGAAAACCTCGTCTTCGCCTACAAGAGTAGCACCAGCTGCTCGTGCTTCAGCAGCGGGTTTCGAATCGGGGGCGGCGATGACGCAAATTCGTATGTCAGTCTTGACAGGGTGCGGGAGTCGTAATCGGTTTCGTATGACGGGTCCGTTCTTGAGTGTGCGTAGGCGGACATGTAGTTCGTATTTGGAGGAAGACGGGTTGCGGCCTACTTCAAAGGCGCGGATATATCTGTTCCTCCGTCAGCCCTCGATCTTCCCACTTCCTTGTGCATAATCCAAACAAAACGTACTGCATTGCATCTATAAGCGAGAACTTCTCTGCCTTCTTCAAGTCATGTTGCAAGAACGTGTTTCGCGCCTTCTTCTTTTTCTTGGGTTGGGCTTTTGTGGTTGCGCATCGTATTGTCTGGTGCGGTATTGAAGCGAAGCGCGGGACTTCTGATCTCGAGGCGGCAAAGGATGATATAGTGAGTCTGCTCAGAGGAGCTAGTAGCGATCGTGGGTGTGCCATTGGTGCTGATGCGGATGTAGGTGTTCGTCGCGACAGTGCCAAAAGTTCGGTCGGCGATTCGGGAATGCCAAGACATGAGTGGCGCTAGAATCCCACACCTTTGCCGTCTTCTTGCATCAATGACTTTCACGTTCCATCATATCATTTGGTGACCAACTATTAGACACATGTCCTGTTACCTTGAATTCATCTGAGACTGTCCCAATTGCGCCATACACGAGGCAGCGAGGCAGGAGCAAAACGACGAGACCGCGACCAAACCTTGGAAGCCAGCAGCACACGACACGTCCAAGGCTTCATCGACGGCGAAGAGGCAAGCATACAAAATGACTGCACTGATCCTGAATTCGAGCATCTGATACCAAGTGAATGATCGAGTACGGGATATACCCACCGCTGTCAAGACATATCTTAGAATAAGGCGCTCTATACTGTACGGGGTTCTGCATGTAGCCACGGCATGGTCGCGTCAAGCTTGACAGTGAGCAAAGCCGATCATGTCAGCGACTGACTCATCGTTGCATGTTTGTAGGCTGGCACATACAGTGAGCATACCGTTCCTAGCTTCATGAAGTTTGGTGTCGAGGCGCAAAGCCGTCTGATTCGCACGTCTGGGTGTGATCCCGGAACAGCCGCGATAAAGATATCTTCAGTTGGGTGTCAGCACCCCGCGCGGCCGATTCTCATTGGGGCCTGGAACAAGGCCTTCGTTCCAGAGGTGTACAGAAATAAGAGTCACGAAGCATCGGAATAACTAAACCAGTCGTGGACAGCTGAGGTCTTACGCTAAGCCATATCTAGTGATTACCGAGCTTAAGGAATGCCGATTGGACCTTTCGACTAGTCTATTCCGATGTATATCAGCCTTCAGAGGCTGACCAGAGAGTAATATAAAGGTTGATAAGGAAGGCCCTGTGAGAACTAGAAACCTACTCTCACAGCATTTGACAACCATGGATCACACAATCTTCACACCGCAGCTAAAATTGACGCGGATCATGGCAGCAGAGATAGGAAGCCAAGAATTCGAGTGGCTACACCAACTACGCAGTGACGAGAAGGCCGCATTTTGGAGGTAGGTCGTCCCGTCTTCTCTTATCAGCCAACCATATACCGTGCATCATGTACACCGGGACTGAACTAATTCCAATCAGCATTGACGGGATCGCCAAGACCCTGGAAGACACCGAAAGATTCACCAAATACGCCCTGCCAGTCACGGTCAGCGAAGGCGAAACCAAGTCTTACCGAGTATCCTATGCCGTACACGAGTTGCTCTTGTCTCCCGGACATGAGGGCGCAGACAAAGACTCAATTCCAACTCGCTTCATTGGCCATATCGGTGTAAAATCTCTCGGCGATCGGAGCCTCACTTTGAGATCTGACATTCTGCCTCCTTCCTCATTCGAACCGGAATGTCTCACCGTCGAACTTGGTTATAGCTATCTACCCTCTGCTTGGGGTAAGGGTCACGCAACAAGTGCTGTAAAAGCACTCATCGATGCTTGCAAAAAAGAAAGGTCTTTCTGGGAGCCATACGACAAAGTATTTCTACGAGCTATTGTCAACTCTGAGAACCCGGCGAGTCGGCGTGTGATGGACAAGAGTGGTCTGAAGGAGCTGGGTGTGCACGTCTGGGAGGGTGAAAAGATATTCGTAGCAGGAAGATGGAGGACAAGGGATGAGTTGTATGTTTATGGAACGTTTCTCGTTGAGTGATGGGCTATCGATCGTAGACTGGGTTCCACAGCCCGCATATCTATCATGAACTAGTAGCAGATGAGTCTCACGCTCTACTGGTAGCATGGCTCAAGTTGTTTTCCGAAGATCTGGAATCGTGTTCTCTGACGCGCTCGCTACTACCACTAACTCCTGACCGAGCTTGAGCTTCTGGATCTGGATATCTTCTTTTTTTCTTTGACTTGGCTCTTCTCTTTTGACTCTCTCTACGCCACCTTCGAATGTCACGGATCATGTTCATCGGACTAGTGCCAAGCGATCGGTACCCAAATTTCGCGAGTGGGATGAGAAGTATCGCGTTCGAAGAGACTAAAAGAAGGGTTATCACAATGGTAAAGCCTCTGTCAATCCCACGTAGCCAAAGCAGTACGATAGGGCTAAGAAGAGTAGCTATGAGCGCTCCCACGAGCACAAACGGGAAGACAACAGCGAAGACCTTCGTAGATGTTCCCGATAGAAACCTGCTGATAGTGTTGTGCAACCATCCTAAAACTATGCGTGTTGGTATTGGCTGATTGTGCGGGACGTGCGATTCAGCGTGAATTTGGCTTAAGATCTGGGTCTTATATTCGATGAGGCGGGAGCTGCGAATACTGAGGCGCATAGCGTAAGCTACAAAGACAGTGGCTATGGCAGCGAGCGTGAAGACGTAAAGTGGCACTCCGTCGCTCAGTTCCTTGACTTGCATACTGAACAGGCTTGCGACAAAGGACAGCGGAATAAAGACGAATGCTAGCTCGGTGAGTTTGGACACGCTCTCAGCTTCCGCGATGCTTCGTCGGCTGTCAACTATTTGCATTTCGGTAAGCAATGCTGTGGAAGATCTCTCGACGAGATTGAGACAGTTCCCCAAGGTGTGACTCGTGTCTCTTGCGAGTCTTTCCGATGGTAATTCGTTTCGTTGATTGCCGCCAAGGTAGAAAAGTTCCTTATCGTTCTGAAAATGTATCAAGGACCGCAGTTGCTGGTCCACATCCGCAAGGCTAGAATTGAAGCGATGAAGCAGCTTTCTCCAGTATGTAACCCGCTGTTGCATGACATCTTCATCCAGCGTGTCTTGGCGTATGCAATGCAATGAATCGCGTATGACATCGGTCAGATTATGACAATCATCGTGAATAATTCTGAACAGTATCTGGAGTGGATCTAATAGTAGGATCACGAGGTCAGTGTATGTCTTTTATGCGTATCGTACAGAGACGCTTACCGTGTATCGTTTCCTTGCCTTTTCCTGTCGACTGCAAAGCAGCTTGAAACTCGCCTATTACGGAGAAAGGTATATGGAGGCGTTCGATGTGCGATGGCATATCAAGCGTGGTAAACGTGTCGCCAAGCATCGCGGAAGATGAGGATCCAGCTTTGATAGGATAATATGGAATTACCCGGTCATAATCGTGGGCTCGGTACTCGGAATGGTTACTCCTTGCCCGATTCAAATCGATTTTGTCTGCTGTGTTGTGTGTGGTTCTAGTCGGTGAGATGCCACTTTTGCGGTTCCGGCTTGACTTCCGTTCGATGGCGAATCTCGTATTCCGCTGTCGAGCTGATGATATCGCTCCTACAGCGTCAATTGTAGCGCCCGTGACATGTGCACGGCTCATCTTAGCTTCCGCCGATGAGTGCAGAAATGTTACACCCGCGGGCTTTTTTGCTGGGACGACTAACAAACTGTTAGTCTTTCTGGGTGAATCAACTGGGCGTGATGACGGTAAAGTTTCCTGACGTCTACATGTGCGATCTGAAAGTCGATGCATCTGTGGAACGACTGATTGCCAACAAGATTTACGTGAGATGTACGAATTGGAAGTCTCTCATACGCTCTCTGTGCGGCGTTGCGGAAACATGTATGCTCCAGAGAATGCTCATACTTACAGGGATGGGTATCGGGTAAACCAGCATGTGGTAGCTGATCATCCACTGCAACATTTACATTTGATGCGAGCGAAGATCTTGCCGATTCTGGATGCGCAGCTGCAGTAGAGAGAGGGCGTTGTTGCGCAGCCCAGCTCTCAATGCGATGGCTCTGAGGTTCCTCCGTGTTCGGAGCATTGTCACGTACTATCTTGAGTTTGGAACGAGCGACATCCTTCTGCTGGTCTTGATCGGTACTCCACCCAACCCTAGTGAAGGGCAGCGGATCTAGTAGCACAATAGCTGGCATCGTCAGAATATTTGCAACTAGTCTTGGAGTCATTTGGGAAATTCCCTTTGCATACCAAATTTACAACCGTCAATCCGCCTTGTAAATATTGTTACCCTCTCTTCCCATGCAATAGGGTACTCGGTGTCAGAGCCCTTTACATAAGCGCCGGGACTTGGGCACAATTTCACGTTGCGACGCAAGATATTAGCAGTTGTTTGCAACTTATGAACCTTCCCACAGCCTTCAAGCATGCAATTGACTTTCGGACGTAGATTGCTGAGCAGCTGACTGCGGAAGTTTGAAGCCACAGGAAGTAAAGGAATTACAGGCCGGAACCAGGTCAGCGAAGAACAATCAGGACTAGAGGAGTGATTCAGCCACCGCGCTGGCTTCTTGTCATCGAATGATTCGCCTGCAAAGCCGGACCCATCCAAATGTTTTTCGAACACACCTGGTGGAATTTGGAAGGTGGCACCCAGGTAATCAATCAATGAAGGATTTAGATCTTCCACAAAGATCATTCTGAGATGACACCGAGCTGGAGTACGCCTTAACGTATTCCGGAAGTCCTCATATGTCGGTGCCGAACGCGAGTGTGCATCAGGCCAGAGAGCTTGGAGAGTAGAGGCACTAGGCTGCTGTGTCTCAAGTATATCATATAACATGATGTGTGAACTCCAAATGTGCCGTGTAGTTACGGCACTAGCATGATGTAGATTCGAAAAGCGGTTGGCCGATGTGAGCAGACCCATGCGATAGATCTCTGCCTCATTGTTGTTCGTCGCCTGTTGCACCTCCTGTTGTTGCTGCTTTGGTTTTTGTCGGAGTTTCCCGCTTGACTCCAATGCTATTAAGACTGCTTTCCAGAGCTTGCTCAGCTCTGGTCGTCGCGGTGCATCGCCTTCGGGTCGCTGCCTGATTGGTTCACGCTCTGGTGAACGCGATTGCTGTAATCGATCCCTCGCGTTTCTGTCCTTCACTTTCGGAGATTCTTCTCTTTTTATCGCTTCTTCTTCGGAGACTGCATCTGCTCGAAACTTTGCTCTCCCACGTTCGCGCATCCCCCCAGAAGAAGCTGCCCGTTCTGGTCGCACTATTGACTGTTCCACGGACTTGGGTTCGCTAGTCCGACATAGATCTCGGATGGACGGCTGATCTATTGAAGAGGAACGAGATGAGGGTAGAGCGATTGCGCTTGCGCTGGTCGTCCGGCACTCTGACGGTAATCGTCTCGGGTGGCGGGTCTGTAGATCATCGAGTGATGTGCGGGGTCTTTCCTGTTGTTGAAGGATGAGAGATGGTGCGGAACTCGTCAAGATCTTACTGCGGTAATCTGCACTTGGAGTTCTAGAGTGTCCAGAACTGCAATCATCAATCGATCCGTCCTTGGTCTTGTAGTCTGCCCGTGGGTGAGCGTCATTTTGGCCATTGTCCTGCTGCAAATCCTCAAATGCTGGCCCATCGTCTCGCGTGTAACCCGGTGAATCTTTGGGACTGTATACACTGTCTTCCGAACTCCTTTCATGACCACATGTTGCTTGTTGGTCGTCCTCCATCTCTGCGCCTACGACCCACGCTCGTGTTCACCGGCAAGGCAACGTTGACCCCTGCAATTTTCTTGTTTGGCCCTCGCTAATGTGTCCAGGGTTTGTGTTCAGCGTTTCCGCGCATCAATGAGAAAGACGTTGTATGCCCATTGTTGTATCGTGGTTCGTAGCTGTTAGTTTCAGGTGCGGCTGAAGAAGTATAGGTCGGCGTTCTGCATAGATGCAGGTTGAATTTGCGGTTGTATCACTGATGTGAGGCCGGAGGTAAGCCCGGTGACAGTCGGGCTGTCCAGTATCGAGGTAAGCGCCTGGTGGCACAGTCGTGCAGTGTGCGTGCAGCTACATGCATGCGACGTATCACACATACGCCAAAACGTCTGCGGGGCGGCTTAAAAACCAGTCGAGAGCCGCACTTCCCGCAAGGAAATTTACACCACATCAATTGGAACCTGCACATCCGCATATACTGTATGAAAGAAGTAATATCAGCTTGAAATCCAGATATTCCATACTTCAGATGCGTGTTGTGAATCAGCTCCAAGCGCGTGATTCTTGAATACCGAGGTAGCGATGGCGAACCTACGCTTTGCAGTCTCTTTTCAAAGTCAGTCAATTTAAAATATAGTTCTATGTCTAAACTGACCATGTCAACAGGGCTAATTCCGTTCTTCGGCTATCATCATATGTTGATGATTCTGCTGACTGTCGTGATTGTACTGAATTGTAAGCTGCTGATCTGAAGTTCATGGATTAGTATCATGCTTACTGTATCCATAGCAATATCTCTGGCTGGGTGCGCAAGCTATTCGACCATGACAAACATCTACGTCCTCGGTTTATCGTATACGAACTCGACTTCGAAACGTACTACTGAAGGTCATGATGTGTTGCTTGACACACTGAATGGCCTGAAAGGATCCGCCGAGCTTGAAGTCCGAGCGGGCTACTTTGGGATGTGCGTGCGCCAACGTGGTATCGTCTGGCTTTGTAGCTCCGACCACAATGGTCTGGCGCAGCAAATTGGGTACGAAAACGACCCGCTGAACTTGATAGGTGCTGCTGCAGAGTTCAAGAACGAAGTTCTCTTCTCCGGTCTTCTATTCATTGCTGTAGTCCTCGCATTTGTCACTATATTGCTTCTCGCAACATTTCCGGGGTGGCATGAAGAGCGAGATGAACGAACTGGGTCTGACGTAGATGTAAGACCCTTTCCGTCGCGTCCCGTCTCACAAGTTGCGCTCGCAGCGAGTTTTGTTGCTGCAGCGCAGCTACTTATCGCGAGTTTGTGGCAGCATGTGGGATCTGTCGGTGCAGCTGCAATGGCAGAGTCAGCCAACTACGGGAATATCCGAACGGATATCGGAGTCAGCGCAATCACTATGGTCTGGGTTGCCTTTACGTTACAGATTACTGTTGCTATAGGTCTACTCGTTATGGTTCTTTCCATTGTCATATTAGATAGATTGACCGATAACGATTCGGATTAATGTTGCGCGCCAGGAACGTAGGAGAACAGGAGTAATGTTGACGAGAGTTCACGGTAGATGACCCTAGGCCTCCTCAGATCCATGTGAAGCGAGATGACGCATGGGGAAAATAGATCCAATTGGAAGCAGGCCCGTGCTAAGTGCGCGCTCTCCGAGGCCACCTAGGTATTTCGAAGCCTCATCTTGACCGGATGCACCCACATTCTAGCATCTTCACTGGGAATCAGGATATATTATTACTAGCAACGAACGCATACAGAGATTACCTCAGGAACCTCGTAGATGCACGTGAATCATTTCGATGACGTACATGGGTAGCTTCCTGGGCTTCTCGGTGGCCAAACTGGTTCCGCACCCCAACGAACAATACCATCGGCGACAACACCGACATTCTCGTCCCACAGCTGATGGATCGCGGATCATCTCCGTGGTAGGGAATATGCAGCGCGAAGATGTGGGCTTCTACCCCGCACATCTGGGGTAAAGCCGCAACTGGTATATCCGGATGCGTTGTTCCGCTATGGGATAACGAAGTAAGATGGATATTCTGAACTATATAACCATTGACCAAAGCTATACGGAAGGTGCAAGAACCTTCGCTCACAATAGGCTACCTAGAGTTGCTCAGCTATCGTATACGAGGATATTACCATGGACAAGCCTATAGAACCCGAGAAGCAGGAACACCTCGAAGATGTCGACATCGACACGGTCAAACACCATGATGAGACGCTACAAGAGCATGGGGAGATAGACGTCTATGACGAAAAGTACAACAAGAAACTCAACCGGCAACTAGACCTACGCGTTCTACCCCTATGTTGCTGGGTATATCTCTTGAATTTTCTTGACAGGGGTATGGTCCTCATCATCTCGTACCGTCTCAGCACCCGAGTCAATCGCTAAAATTGATAACAGGAAACATTGGCAATGCTCGTGTGCTCAACACAGAGACAGGAGACGACATGCTCAGTAATACGGGCCTGACACCTCACGGCTATGCTCTGACCGTCACTCTCTTCTCCGTCGCGTATGCCGTGTTCGAGATACCAAGCAACTTCGTCATGAAGCACTACATCCGACCTTCTAGATGGCTCGGTATCCTTCTTTTCGCATGGGGAGCCTTAACGATCGGGTTTGCGGGTGTACAGAACAGTGCCACCATCATCGCTTTGAGGTTCTTGATTGGAGTTTTTGAAGCCGGCTTCTTTCCTGGTGTGTCATGATGATACGTGAAGGTTGATGAACTTGTGCTGATTATGTATCGTAGGAATTGTCTACTTCATCACGATCTGGTACCGCTATAACGAGCGGGCTGTTCGCATCGCTCTCGTCATTGCGTTCTGCAATCTCGCTGGTGCCTTCGGAGGTGCCATCGCATTCGGAGTCGGCCACATCAACGGAGTGGCAGGTCTTGAAGGCTTCCGCTGGCTCTTCATCATCGAAGGCATTATCACACTATTATCGGCGTTCCTCTTGTGGTTTTTCTTGCCCGACTACCCAGCTCGAGCGGAGTGGCTCAGCAACGCCGAAAAGAAATTCGCTGTTGATCGCCTGGCCGACCGAGGTGGTGGATACAACCAGGAGCATGCTAGCAGGAAAGAGATTCTGGACACCTGCTTTAGTCCACGCATGCTGCTACACTACATTGCCTATGTAGCCGACGTCGTTCCCCAGGGGTCATTCACGTTCTTTACGCCCACTATCGTTACTGGACTAGGTTACGAGTCCATTCATGCACAACTTCTGACTGTCCCACCATGGGTCGTGGGCTTCTTCGTAGCCATCACAATTTCTTACTCTGCGGACCACTTCAACGCTCGTGGGTGGCATATCACCATCGCATCACTCATAGGAGGGACTGGCTGGCTGACCGCTGGCCTTCTTCCCGCCGACGCCTATGTTCAGCGCTACGGCTGCCTATGTATGGCCGCTGCAGGTGCCTTCCCTGCAGCACCTTCCATGACGAATTGGGTGACCTGCAACTCGCCAAGCTTCCTCACCTTGCCACTCGCAATCGCGCTGCACAACAGCTGCGCAGGTATTGGTCAGATCATTGCGCAATGGATTTGGATGAACGACGAGCGAAGTCAAGGCTTCCCGACAGGCAACTTCGTGTGTGCGGCGTGTAGTTTCCTGGTGGCGGCAATCGCTACGACACTCAGGCTGTGGTATGGGAGAATGAACAAGCTTGAGAGGTCAGACAGTAGGGGTGATCAGAGGGTTTGGGCATTGTAGCGATATTAATCGGGTGGCATAACCCTTGATACAAATGTCGCACTATGATATCAAGAAGAAATGACCGTCTATATCCCTATTACTGCTTTGACAACCATCGTTTCAAGGCTTTCGTCATGACCTCATGCGTCCGACTCGTCAGGTGCCCTGAATTGTACCAAAAGTACGTATCCAAGTCCGTGCATCCATATTGGCTTGGATTTGTCAGGATATCTGGCTGATTATATCCAGGGCAATAGTCGGTGATGTTTTTGAAACCGTATTCTTGGGAATGATCCAAAACGTAGTTCAAAACACTGTTCACATCGAACTGAAGCACTTCCACGTCCTTATGACTGGACTGAAAGGCGTTGGCATGTGCAGCGTGGATCTTGTTGAAAGAAGTAACGAGCGACGCGTTGACATTGGGCGTGCCTGGCCCACGATCCAGAGGCGGTAGATTCATGAAAAGGAAGTTCTTGTAGCCAAGTTCATAGATCTTCTCCACGTTCTCAAAAACTCGGTCCTGAATCTTCTCGTAGAGTGGTGCAAAGGATGCGTTCTTTCCTTGAGTTGATACAAGGTCATTGATATCGTTGATGCCGATCCATATCGCTACGAGTGCTTTCTTCTTGTTTAGGTGTATTGATTCGAGAGCTGGATTGCCGTAGGAGGCAAACTGTTCGATCTGACGTTCGAGTGAGACAGTATGGTTGTGATGAAGGGGTGTGAATCCAGCTTCCTCGATAGTGTTCGCGCCAGCGTATGCAAAGTCCCAGAGCTGCATATTGCACTCTCTTGGATTGTGCAAACCATCCTCGACACCACATCCAGTCAAAAGCTCCACCCAATTAGGGCCACCTTCTGCCGTTCCCGTAAGGTTCTGCACGATGCGATTCGAGAAGAGCTGTGCGGGCGTAAAAGAGAAGTTGAATTCATCGCCAATGAAGGTGTAGTTTTGGTGGCCGAGAGTACCCTGCACGTACGTGTAGCTATCCCCAAAGGCTATCAGAGATTCTGTGGAATGCCATTTAAAAGAACTTTGTTTCTGCTTCGAATGCGCGGGGGCAGCAATTGCATGCACAAAGAGTGTCAAGAAGACGCTTGAACTCGCGGTGAGCTTCATATCGGCAAAGCGGAAAACGTTTTCGAAGGCTTGATGATCGTCATAATGATCTCTAAGAAGCTTGGCTACTATTTATATCGGTGCAGTCGGTATAGATGGATCCTCGGCAGCGTGGGTTTAACGGAACAATTACCCCCGACTGGTGGCGCTGCGGGAAATCTGGAGCTGGACTTTTCCGGGGTAGATGGACGATAATGCGGGGTATCCCACTTACCCCGAGCCTCGTTCAGGCGTAGCATCAAGTAAGGACCACAAAGCAGCTTCCGAGTTTGCAGGCTCGTCCTTGGAGGAAATACAGTCGTGGTAATGTCGTACGCCTTTGTACTCGTACCACCATCGACCTGGATGATCACGCGTTGGATCTGCTTTTACAAAGCCCATATCTTGCAAAGTCCATATTGGGTCAACTTTATTTTCTTTTTGTCCACAAGCAAGTAGAGCAGTGACGAAAGGCTGCAACGATGCAACATGAGCCAACGGGACACCCATTCTCAACGGTAAGTCCTGCCACCACCAATTCGAGGCGTTCATGCAGAAAAATGGACCAAGGATTCTGATGGCATCAAGGTAGACGTCTTCCCTGGTGTTGGAATAATCCACGATAGGCCGTAGCGTTTCAGAAATGAGGCCGAGCATACCGTATAGCTTGTCTCGGGGGTCTTCGCAGCCCATGCTAGAGAATTGACGTAGTAGATTGCACAGTAGATGCGAATACCCAGGTCGAACAGGCTCTGCGTGTGCATAACGATTAGAAAGTAAATATGTCATTGGCGACAGAGTTGGATGTTGCAGAAATCCAGCAAACAATGCAGCCTTGAAGAGGACATCCCAGTCCATCCAGACGTGACCGCACAGGATATGTGCCTTTTTGGGCAACATTACTTCCTGCACGATCCATAGACGCGTGAAGTAACGGTTTCTCAGGATAGCCTCAGTATTCTCGGCATTCCTGTTCTTGGAGTACCTTCGCGCTGCTCTTAACGAAGACAGATCCAACCAAACGATGACATAGATGCATTCGGAGTAAATTCGAGCCATTAGGCGAACTTGATGATTGCGTTCCGCCGTGTCCTGCTGGTTGATACATATCTGAGTGATGAGATCAGTCCATGCATGTATAGCCAAGTAGATGTAGGACCTACCTGATCGATCCAGAGGTACTGGGTATTGGCTTCGTCTGAGCGAAAGGCGGAAAGGAAATCGAACAAGTTCATTCTAACAGCGAGCAGCTTGTTATCGATAGCGATATACCTATTATCTGATGATCCACCCCAAGTGTATGACAGAGCGATGAACTCGGGTGCAGTGTTGATGTCGAATATCTCAAGTTCGCAGTAAATGAAGTCGCGCTTGTATAGCGTATTGGCCACAGGTTGAGATCGCAACAATCTTGCGAGACGGATCTGCTGCTTCGATCCGTCCAGTTCTCTATACCTGTAGAAGTCCGATGTCTGCGGCATTCTCGCTGCGTTGCCGACTGAGTTGTCGGACTTGTCCACCTCATCAATCAAAGACTGAATGGTATGCTCCGGTACCAAGATAAGCCTAGAGTTGAGCTCAAATCGGATCTAGCGCCTCGTAGAAAATAAGGTAACGAAGCGCAAAGCGATTCAGTGAAGTCGTGTATGAAGGCAAAAGCGAACGAAGAAGTGAGGACTAAGGCGTTTAGCACAGCCCCCACCTCAGCCGCAGACTAGTATTTTGGGCTCTTTTCTCCACTCAACCGGCTTATGAATGGACCTTTGATGAGCGCGTTGCCCGACGACTGCCTTGGCAATAGGGTTTGTTATCTAAAATGGTATTAATGCTACAAGGTACAATGGTGGTACAGAAGAAGCGGCACAGCCTTACTCTTCGAAGAAGTCACCCCAGCTAAACCCACCACCATCACCACCGTCTCCAGCATCACCACCACCCTGTCCACCCTGTCCACCCCAAAAGTCCTGATCTTGACCCCGAGATCCGACCCCAGGATCTTCGCCCCAGACATCTTCACCCACTTGTCCTGTGCCTGACTGTTGATCGGGGTTGGGTTGATACGGATCGGTCGCTTGTGGGGAAGCATCGTCTTCTTGTTGCCTGGCTTCTCGCCCTCTTTGCATAGCTTCGTAGCCAGCCATTGTAGCTGCACCTGTCGCTGCACCCTCTCCAGCTCCAAGTCTGCGCGCTGCAGTGCCGACCTCACCTGCAATACCGCTTTCGCCAGCAGCACCTACGGCCCCAGCACCAGCAGCACCCGCTTCACCAGCTGCAGCACCTCCCGCGGCTTCACCACTGCCACCTACCCATGGCATCCACATTGGCCACATGCCACCAGAACCACTATGTCGACTGAAATAGTCAAAGTCGATGCTAACAGCTGTAGCAAGCATTACGGCGCGTTGATCAAGGGTCATGCCAGGGTAGTCTTCAAGTGATGGTCGGCTCTGCTCACCAGTTTTGGAAACCAAGCCTGACGGCTCACTTGCCAGCCCGGCAGCGTCCATTCTCAACGCATAAACACCCGTATCAGTGAATATTTCGCGCGCGAAGCCTCCGAAGTTGCGGTTAACAGAACCCGCTAGCCGCCCGTCTTCAGACATCAAGCTGAAGTCCCAGGACAAAAAGGGTTCGTCAACCCTGGCAAACTGGAGCATGCCCACTTCTCGGGTATCGCCTTCTGCTACTGCCACGGCTTTAGAGTCTGAGATTGGCAGGTCACCAGAGGACAGTTGGGGCGCGTCTGGTCCTGCGGCGGCGTCCTCGAGATTCCTTGCGAGATACAGGTTGTACTTCCTTCGTAATGGTGCCCACTCCTGTTCCGAAGCTCCGATAATCCTCATGTCTTGGAGTGCCAAAGTTGAGACATTTGCGCTCGTTTGGTTGGCTATGCTTCTGACACTCGTGCCTTGCAGACTTGCCGAGCTGGTATAGGTGCTCTCATCGGGCCCTACCGCATCATACACGCGTATTCTCGAGTTGATCCAGCTGAAAGGTCTATGAAACCTTAGTATTTCCTTTTCGTCCCGGTCAAAGACGTGAGTCGTGAAGCTGCGGTGCGTCTTGAACATTTGTCTCGCCATGGCGTTCCCTATGCCATGGTCTTGCTCGGCGAGATATCCAATATGATTACCGTGCGGGTCCATGATAACGTAGCGGTTCGCTTGCTCGAAGCCCATGAGCACGTTCATCATCTCCAACTGTCGTTGTACTATAAGAGAGGAGTTGTCCAGAAGACGCATGGCGGGGTGTGTCTGCTTTAGGACGGCGTTTGGGTCTTCGGGTATGTATACGGGCGTTACGAGGTTGTTCTCGGAGTCGGGCGTGGTCGAGAGGGCGTTGGACACGGCGTCGACTTTCGATGTCTCTTTGGGGGCTCCATCATGCGTGTTTGATGAGGAATCGTTGCTAGGTGGTCTCGTAGAATATGCTGAGGTCGTTGGCGGCGTCGTGTTGCGCGGTAGGCGACTGCGAAAGGCTAACCGTGGTGTGGTTTTCGTGGTGATCGATCGAGCACCCTGGCGTGGCAGTCGTAAAGACCATCTTGCCGCTGGCAGCATCTTGAAGGCTGTTCCGTATATATCTAGAGCTGCGGTATGTTTGGAGTAAGTCTCTGATCAGGCAGGTAACATTCGTGTAAGAGGTGCAGATGCCTAATCGCTTTCGCGTGGCGTCACGAAGACGTTCTTTACTTTCTCGGAGGTAGCTGCTCTTATTACGTCACAACAGGCGTCCCTAGGGCAAGCACAAGCCCCAACCGCAGTCTGCGGGTATCGTGAAGCATATGTCGTGTGCGACTGTCAATGCCCGCTATGCGCACTCAAAAGCCAGTGGTACGGTGGCTGTCGAGTGTTAGGAACTGGACTGCTGTGCGGTCGGCCAAGACGGCCAATCAAATCCGGCCTTGGCAAACAGTCATCTCCAAACTTTTTGCGCTCTCCTCTCACCTTCAGCACCACTCCACCATGAAGCTCGCAACGCTCGTCGACGACGCCATTACCTGAAGTCGCAAAGGCCGGGTAAGTACCATTCATTCCCATTCACATGTTTCACTGTCTTATGATGACAACTTTTCACTTATACGATTGCCGGCGCATGCATTCACTTGACTGCGTTTGGCTCTCGATGCTGTTTCCGTTACAATAGACTACAACGGTATCTGATCGACATTACTTGCTACACTTCACATTGCCTCAAAACCCGCGCAGGACTAACGCGAGTACAGTTTCGTCGAACATCGAGCTGGACTGAGGCATGTCTTCGACTCAGCAGCTTGAGCATGCTGTTGCTGCAAGCGAGGAGCGCCCAGAGGGTCTACCTCAGCCGAACCAAGAACCAGCCAACGGTGTTTCGAGGAAACCTCGCCCAAAACGACCCAACTATAACGAAATACATGCGAAGCCTCTGCCACTAGACGTATATGCGCTGCCTGCCTTCATCCCGCACAACCCCATTTCTATCGTGCGACTATTCATCAGCCTGATTTCGAAGTCGCTGTGGTCGCCCAAGTCACACATCGTCATCCACAGAGCATACTACTCTGCAGAGACCCAGTCAATCCACGTCACCGATCCGGCCTCCATCCGAGCTCTTTGGGAACAAGGCTTCTGGGGCAAAGGGTCCCTCAGCCGAAGTGAACCACAATGGTTAGTCGCTGAAAAGCGAAGGCGAGGTGCCCAGGCGTCCAAGACAAGCACCGAGGTTACACAATCAAGGCGGGAAGAGCGCAGACAATTCAAGTTAGAGAGAGCCAAGGCGCAGCGCGAGGCTATTGAGCAACAGCTACGGCAAGAAGGCAAGATCGTATCCGACGCCAACATCAACAAGCTCGTAGGTAGCGACGCCAAGGACATCACCAAGCCAGAAGATGCAACAGCAACTCCGGCGATCAATGAAAACACAGATGGCCCTGCCGCACCGGCCGACGCTGAAGCTGATCTAGAGGTTGACATTGTGGATCTTGAGCATCTTCAGCTCACACCCGAAGAGGCTTTCTTCCTGACATACGTCCTTGGTGCTTTGCAAGTCGTCAACGTGGACACCCAGGCTCCCATGGATCTTGCACAACACTACCCAGCATGGTACCTCTTGCGTGTATACTGCGCCCATGCGTCCAGTTCTGGCGAATCCGATGATCTCGAAAGAGCTTTGACGCATCTTCGTACTGCGTACCGTATGAGCAATGACGCTACTCGAGTGGATCCTGCTATGACGTGTATTCCGCCTATTGAGCCTGACAACCCTTTCCTGATGAAATACGTTGTCTTTCACCACTTCCGATCCCTGGGCTGGGTCGTGCGGCCTGGTGTCAAGTTCGCTGTCGACTACTTGCTCTACATTCGCGGTCCTGCGTTCACACATGCCGAGTTTGCGATCATGATCATTCCTTCCTACTCAGCCCCATACTGGACCGAGCAAACGGATGGTCAAGCCCAAGTCAGAGCCGCGGAAAAGGAGCGCAGGGACTGGTGGTGGTTCCATCGCTTGAACCGAGTGCAAACCCAGGTCATGAAGACACTGATGCTGGTCTACGTTGAAGTACCAGCACCGTGGGATGCGGATTATATGAGCTTGGATGGGTTCAAGCTTGACATTGGTAGCATTTTAAAGAAGTACACAGTTCGAGAGTTCGTCTTCAAGAGGTGGAGTCCAAGCAGAAACAGAGATTGAGCTACAGAATACTGGAGTCGATCCCGGCAGAGACGAAGCTGTACGAGTTATGAAAGCCGATGAATACATATACCACATACCAACCTTGACCTACTCCCGCTTACGTCACACACGATGCTTACACCAAGGACTCAATATTGACATTTCAGTGATCCACATTGAGGAGTAAGTATATGCGAATCGAGCATTGACTCAGAGCAAGACTGGGCAGCCGGGCAGGGAAATAGGCGATTGGCCCCTTGATTACACGAATATTTCACTCTCGACGCTCGAGCTCGAGCTTCTTAGAGCACGCCATCAAGTACCCCTCTAATGTATATATATTCAAGACCTTGCCCTGATTTCGATTCGATCGCCCCCTGCATAAACACCCATAACCACACGTGGGAGCTCGACCGTACACACAGCCTTTCGAAGCTCGGGTCGACTTACAGCTTAGTCTTCAATCACAACCACATCGTCGATCACCATGCCGACCTCCCGTCGCGTCGCTGACATCATGATTCCACAAGATGCAGCCCCTCCCGCACAAGGCCCGAACGAGACCAGTTACTTCTTTAGCCTACTCAATCGCGACGTCCGAAACCTAATCTACGATCATATGACGCTTGGTCAAATTCGTAACAAAGACGCGACCCAATGGATTGGCTTCAGAGGTACCTGTCGGCAGGCAAAACAAGAAGCTGAAGAGGAGGGCGTGCGCCATCTATGGATGTATGTCCAGGACATTTGCAGTAAATTCACCAAGACTACAGGGTTTGATCTGAGGCTACCGCGTCAACTGAAAAAGATGGAAGACTTTATTGGACTG